ATGTGCAGAATGCGCGCGTTCTGCATCGTTTGCAGGCCCCCCTCCACATGAACACGACGTCCCCATAAGACCACATAAGGAACCCAGCCAAGGTTTCTAAGAAGCAGAAATGTAACTCGACCACATCGTGCTGCACATGAGGTCTTGCCCACCCCACCCAGTAAGTGAAACCTGAGCAGTGAGCGGCTTTAAGGCTCCTTTTGCATCACTCTAGGCCTGAAGAAATGCATTGAGATAACACGTGTTGGTGTTGTTGTGAAGTTTCGTGGCAAGTAGCAACTTGTGCAATGGGCCTTATGAGCTGATCAGCTTTCAGCTCCTGCACCGAATTGCTCGGCGCATGCCGTCCTTTCGGATCTGGCACCCAATAAGCTGCCAGACTGCGTTGTCCGCCAGCTTTGCCATGTCCTGGTACAACAGGTCTGCCTCGGGATGCCTGAGAGAGGTCTCGAGCTTGAACACCGCTGTGTTTTCCCACTGATGGCTTGATCTTTCTTGGTGCGAAGAATCTTGGCACCAGGTCCTCGAGGATGAACGGCTCCATCTCCTGTCAACATCTGCAACACCTCTTCACCATCCCACTTTTGATACAGTAGCCTTCCCTGCTCGTCCCAGCAAGCCCTCTGCAACCGCGAGCTTCTTTCTCTGGCTTCTACTCCAGATTTTGAAGCCTCACTACAAGCTCTGCGATCATTAAGGTGAGCAGCGTGATGCGTAGGGGTTGCGTTCTTCTTGGGCTCGGTACAGGTTGGTGGGCTATGAAGATCGTAAAAACCTCGGTCCATCTTGGCCGCGTTGATGCTGTCCTCGTGCTGGGTCAGAATGCGGGATATGAGATATGGTATGATTTTGCCCATGTTCTTGTCATCACGGGATGATGTAGAGCCGAAGCTCGGCTCCCATTGCCTCCTTCTCCCCTGCGGGTGCGCTTTCTTTTCCCCTGCGTTCTCGGTGGCTCGCAGTCCTCTTCTTCCGCTTTCGTCATTGGTGTAGCCGGGAGTCGCTTGGTCGGAGGTACCCGAACATCTAGATCTGCTCTTGGGTGGTTATGGCGCGGCAGAAGTCCCAGTAAGCAGATTGAAAGATGACACAGCACTGCTTAAAATGACGGCTGTATGAGACCCTAGTGCAGTAAGAGCAGAAGCCATCTCTCGTAAGACGTAGTTCATCAGCAAACGGACTGGTAACATGTGCTTTCCAGCCCTGCTCACGAATGAGGTGGTATTCTCAGGCCATCTTGTCCACCTGCATCCTGGGTCGCAGCGGCAGCAGTGGCCCTTTCGAGCTCAGCACAGTTGTCATTTTGAATGTGATTCTTGAGTGGTTGCCAGCTCTGAAATTTATGCTTGCAAGCCGAGCATTGCGGAAGCCCACCTAGCACGTGCACAGCGGATCGAAGGTAATGTCTGTAGTTTTGTGTTCAGGGTGTGCTTTTTGACACTGGTACGACTGTCCAAGTACACTCCACAGACAGGACGGGCACCCGATGCCTTCGACTCCTTCGCGGTTGTGCCACTGGTACAACCTGTCGGAATGTGGAGATGGCCATCTCCAGTTGCTGCAAGGCAATGTCTCGTGTCGCAAGGTTATCCGGTTGTGCTGGCGAAGTGCCTGAAGCTCCTTGTGCTTCTTTGTTGCAGCCTGAAGAAGATCCTCCGTCAGCTCAGGAGCGGGGCGGCCCGCCAGGGCCCTGAGCTGCCTGGCCACCATAGCAAGGAGCTGCGTTCGACCTGTAGCAGTGATGCCCGTCGCCACGAGTCCATAGCTGACGCTAGCAGACACTCCCGCCTTCCATATGCGGTATCTGTATTGCTTGGTATGAGCCTTCGGGCATGCAGCGTTTTGCGCAGGAGCGCGTACTGCCCTCTTGCTTTTCCCAGCCTGTGTTGCAGGGTTTGCGTCTGTGGCTTCTGATATGCAATCACTGTGCCAAGGTACTCATGATGCTTCTTAGTGGGGACTTGAACCTCTGACCGAGTCTCGACCGCAAGGTACTTTTGATCACTTCTTTTGACCAGGTGTTGGCGCAGGATTTTATGCGCTTCTCTTCCATGGAGGTTTAGCAGAACCGCACATTTGTCGGGCTGGATCTCCATACCGTTTTCATTGAGAGTGGCAACTAAAATCGTGAGATCTTGGAGTGCCTGTCTCAACGCTGCAGTCCCTGAGATTAACCAGGCCGCAAAAGCAGCATCAGCATACCACGTGAGTCCATCATTGGTCCGCTGCGGTGAAGTGCGGACACTTACTTATTGTGTCAATCAGCATGATAGTGTAAGCCACGAAGAGGTACGGTGCAAGATTGCATCCTTGTTTTATTCCTTGTGTTGGCGTAACGGGCCGCTGTTCGGCTCCGACGTTGTTCCAGTACTGGGCTTGGTATTGCATGTGCATGATCAGGTGCACCAGCTCTGGATCTACTTGCAACCGAAACAAACTCTCTGCGAGACGGTGACGTGGTACAGCATCGAAAGCTCCTTTGAGGTCGAGGCTGAAACAAAGGCCCCCAAAGCAGGGATTGGGTTCCTGACCAGAGTGACGAGCATAGATTGAGGTTCGATACTTTTCAACTTCATGCCTCGTCTGAGTCAGGTGTCCATGTGCTCGAAGCAGCGCGTCGAGCGTTGATCGTCCCTTGGCATATGCAAACTGAGGATGCGTGATCAAGGCCTGCGTGAGGATGGGCCGAAGCTTTGTACGTAGGACCACACTGATGGATTTTCCGATTGGGTGCACTAGACCTATCGGTCGTAGATTGGCAAGTAAGCTGCTGTCTTTCTGAGGCTTGGGCATCCAGACCATTTGCGCATCCTTCCATATAGCAGGTTCGATATCATCCACAATGTCGTATCCGAGACTGACTCACACAACTGTTGTTCACCACTCATTTCTGCCTTGTCATCTGTGAAAAACCGTAAATCCACACCAGTATGGTAGCAAGCAGGCAGTCCGCCACTGACTTCTGGTCGAAAGGATGGTAAACAGGCCTTCGACAAAAAGCCTGACGAAAGCTTCAAGGTAACTTTGACAAGGCGTGGGGGTTGGATAAAAGGCCTGCAAGGAAAGCCCTGACGAAGGAATGTTGCAAAGGGCTCCCTGAAGGGAAACTCTCATTACATGGAACTCATTTTCATTGTGGGACTCGATAGCTAAGCTGCAATATGGCCGGACTGCTCTAGTGTTACCGCGTCGTATCGTTGTCCGTTTCTTGTTTTGCAAACGGGACGTGAGCTTTCTCGAACAGGTATCACATCAAAAAATGGGCGGCAGCCCAGGTGAATGCTCAGCTCAAGATTGGATTTCTCCTCGGTTGCTGTGCTGGGTCTCGACGCACAACAAGTTTTCCCTACGGTCCGCATTCTGGGCTGGCCACACGCATTGTGGGCGGCGATTGGCGGCGTTGGACGCCAGCATCCAATTCGCCACTGTTGCACACCGTGGATCGATTGTTTTCGTCCTTGGGGTGCGGTCGCATCTGGCCGGCTTTGAGTCGCAAAGACTCTGGCTCTGCATTATGTCTAGAAGCTTCTCGCCACGGTGGGCGTTGGACTTTTGGATTTTGGTGTGCTCGATCGTGATGAAACAAAGCACAGGGGCTGTCCGTTGTCTGTCGAGACTAGAACGGCTGCCGGAGCTTGGATTTGGCTCCACCTGCTACTTTGGGCGGCTCAGAGCGACGGCTCTTTGTTGCTTCGGATCGGTCGCTGAGGCTTCGTAGTTTGCTGAACGGCTTCCACCGGCAAAGTCTGTGCGCCGCAGCTTGCAGAGCTTCGCTTTTGTCTCACTGATTTGTAGTTCTGTGCTTAGTTGTTTGTTAGTTTGCTTGTAGGGACCGAGTGCTACAGCCGTAGTCGACGAGGCCCATTCACGCCAAAAAAATATAAACCCACCGACGACAATGTCGTCTCCATCAGGTCGCTGATTGTCGGCACCAAGATTGTGGACATGCACCAACATAGTCGCAAGCTCATTCCAAATGCGAGATAATGTCTGTGGGCAACTCCTGCAGCACAAAGTCTAAGTGCTTTTTTGGCGTGGGCGGACCAAGACAAACCAACATTTTTTTGGCGTGGACGGGCCTCGTCGACTACAGTAGCACTCGGTCCCTGTAAGAAGTGAATGTAAGCAAGAAGTGAATGAAGAAGTACAGAAAGATCCTAATGGGTGAAGCAGTGAAACAGGTCGCGAAGTGCAGACTTAGCCAGCAGGGATCGTTCGACCTTCGAGATGTTGCGTCTCTCAGTTGGCCTCCGGAGTGGCAGCCAGCAGCAAAAACATGAGTGCTTGCAGACTTTCTGTTGCTTCTTATATTCTGCAGGCTCGGCCCCATATCGCACAGGCACGTGCGCATAGCTACTTCGATCTAAGTAAATTTCATATGCTAAGACAGTGTATGTTTTTAAAAATATATACATACATGTATATATATACTGTATATATGTGAAAACCGCATGTATTTTGGATTAATTTTTGATTGTCCAGACATTGTTCTGTAGGGTTCGTTTCGCTTCGAAACTTGCCGGCAATGTTCAACAAAAGATCTTTGACAACAGAAGATGTCCAGGCCGTTGCTCCTGCAAAACGATTCAGATCCGAGATGGTCGACATATTTTTAAAACAATGAGCTCAGTTCTGAGCGAAGCGCTCGAGTACTGCGGTCAGCACAGAAAGCCGGGACACTGCATGTGGAAGATTTACAGGTCCGTGCAAACACTCGCAACACCCATTGGGATCTTTTGCGCAAATGTTTCAGAAACACGAAATGGCTTTCGTTATATCATGCAAAGGTTCGTAGCTGGAATCAGGCGAAGAACACGTCTGAAGAGTATTTCTTGGCAATTTTGCTGCCTCACGAATCCTTGCACTCACTGCTCAAAGTGAACACGCCAGAAGTCTTGCTTCAGCAGCAAGCCGAGATCTTGCCTGACAGATCTGACCTGGAGAACCACTTGCATTTTTTGGAGGATGAGTTGGGCTTGGATTCTGAATCCACTCTCCTCATGGAGATGTGGTGCGATGGTGTGCCTTTCAACAGCGACCGATCCATGACTTTGGAGACGATTCTTTGAACATTTTTGGCCAGCAGAATCTTCGCCTGCCTGTTGCAGCCTTTCCAAAAGAATTTGTATCCAAATCGCAAACTTTTGAGGATGTATTCGAAATCATCCAGTGGTCCTTTAAGCAGCTGGCGACGGGAAGCATGCCAAGCTGCCGACACGATGGCATGCCCTTCAATCGAACCGATAGTTATCGACAACGTTTGGCAGGCAAAAAGCTTCCACTGAGAGCTGCTCTGGCTGAATTTCGAGCTGATTGGAGCTGTTACAAGGACGTTTTGAGCTTCCCTTTTTGGAGTTCGAAGGGGTTTATCTGTTGGCGGTGTATGTGCCCCCGAGCTGATTTGAAAAAAATTGACATTCAGACTTTCGCCAAGCATCTGGGATTGATAGATTCAAAGTTTTATATCTTTTGTTGTCTTTTAATTTCGACGTGTGAGGCATGCTAGACAGTTGAAGTCGATCGCTTATTCCTGGCAGTTGTCTTTGCCTCAGGTACCCTCTCATTTCCAGCATGGACTTCTTCGTGCGCCAGAGGCAGCAGAATAAATTGGTGTCGAGATTATTTTCTTGCCCAGGATTCAATACGGCTTCCTGCAAGATGGACTTTTTACACGCTTGCGACCTCGGAGTAACATCCGACTGGCTTGGGTCTTTGCTGTTTTACTTACAGAGTGAGAAGATCCGAGGCCTGAGCAAACTCATCCGATGTGCCAGGCTGTACCAAGACATCAAGGCACACTACGACAGAACTGGGGTCCAAGATCGATTGCCGAAGCTCCTTCCCACCATGCTTCGTGAAGAGGATCGAGGCAAGATCAAATCCCCCAAGTTGAGAGCCAAAGAAGGGGAAGCTCGAGCACTCGTCGGTGCTGCCATGGAATTGGCTACAAAGTATTTGTCGCCAGCAAAGCCTGCTGAACAGGCGATGTTGCATGGCACAGAAGCTTTGCAGTCCATATATGCCTGTCTCAGCACTGCAGCTTGGGACAAGGAAGTCTTCAGAGTTTCTTCCCAGAGGTTTCTTTTACTCTGGGGCAGCCTCGAGACTTACTTCGAAGTGGACAAGCTCTTCAGGGTTAAACCTAAAGCCCATCAGCTGTTCGAATTGGCCAGGGGCGAGGTGAACCCTAGCAAGACCTGGACCTACAGGGATGAGAGCTATGGGCATACCCTAGCATTGCTGGGCAGACGGCGTGGTGGCAAGTTTTCGATGAATGCTGTTTCTTGTCAAGTTCTCAGACGATTCCTGGCAGCTAATAAAGTTCCTCGAATCGAGATCGGCACGTGATCCTTGGGAGGAAAAAACACGTGCAGTCGATCGTCCGCATGCATGTATATAATTGGGATGCATATACAGAAAATAACATTTCTTAATTAAGCATTGTTTTTGTCATTTACATACCATGCTTAAATAGACACTATAGTGTTTAATCAAGATGATTAAAGATATCTAAAAATTATTTAAGCATCTTTGGAAGCTCTGGGTTCTCTACTCTCCGCATCGGCTTCATGCTACGTTGCCATGTTCTGGCACGCGACTGTTGCTACCTGACCACATAGGACAGTTTCGCCACTTGTCAGTCAAGGTAGAGCGCTTCCTCTTTGATCATGGGTGTGTGCAGGCGCTCCAGAAGTGGTCAAGTAATCCTGTATGGACAGGTGGATTGCGTTGCAAAGAGCTGCCAAGGTCGTCCTGCGCTGGTTCTCGCATGCTCTGCATTCCTCGACTCGTTTTGGCAGCTGAGTTGCCATGCTGGTATGCTGAGGTCATGTTCATGCGGGGAGACGGTGATATGCCAGTGCATCCTGTGATTTCTGAGAGCCGGTGAGCCTTGATTCGTGCGATTAAAATTTCGTGTCGTGACTGCGACATGAGGTTCCAGCTGCCATGTGTGTACAGGTCCAAGCTGTCTTGATCCCTGGAACACTTGGTTCCACGATGCCTTGTATGTGCATGTGATCTTTAACCCTACTTTGATTTTGATGTGATTGGCGACCGCTAATGTGCCATTCTCACTTGCAGAATAACTGGAAGTGTTGAAAGTATGATCGCTGAGCCTCGGCTCGGGTCGTTCAGCATGCTTGGGCCTTCGGACCGATGCTGATGCTTTTAATTCTTTGCGGGTTGTCATAGACAATGCTGCTTCGGTAGCCAGGCGAAGCCTGCCGACTCGCTAGGCGAACCCCGGACGATCGCCGCGAATGGAAGAAGAAGGAAGAAGCAGTAGTAGCAGTAGTAGCAGTAGTAGCAGTAGTAGTAGCAGTCGTAACAGTAATAGCAGTAGTAGCAGTAGTAGCAGTAGTAGCAGCAGTAGCAGTAGTAGCAGTAGCAGCAGTAGTAGCAGCAGTAGCAGTGGTATAGTAGCAGTGGTAGAGTCGTATGGTTTTGATGGTACCTGCCTGACACTTGAACATTGACTGGAAAAGAGTGCCCCTCGCCCCGGCTTGGGGCGCCTTCAAGCGGGCTTGCTAGTGCCCTGACAGCATTGTTTCGAAGTGGAGTGAAGCCCTGCCATCCTCAAAAGTTGGTTCGTGGATCACTACAAGCGGAACACCACGGCCTCATGTGGCCGCGTAGCACGGTCTCTACACCGAGCCGGAAAGTAGATCCGTCCTCGTCGGTCCGGCGGAACATCATTTCCCGAATGATGTAGCGAAGTATTTGAACTGCTTGATGCCTCCAAAAAGTAGCACCTCTTTTTGAGTTGCAACCTAACGATTTTGACTTTTTTCGGGCACAGCGAGTGGGAAAGGCCTCGAATCCAGGGCTATAGGAGGAGGCAGCAGAGCCACCGACCGACGACGGCAGAAGTCAGGGTTCGATCTTGTTCGGATCCCTGCTATGCTCCAGGAACCAGGTATGCTTGACAAGTCTTTTGCAGGGCACGGCAGGGGCTCAGCGACAGGGCTCTGCGGGATGCCGCGACGACAAATCCGCTGTTGCGGCGTTTGCAGGGCCATCATATTAAGAGTAGTTTCAAACAGGAAGACAAAAACAGCTTGCGCCAGAGTGGCGGCAACGTTGGCCTTTATGCACTCCTACCGCGTCCTTGTGACTCAAAGTGACCTTGTCACGTCACAGCAATGCAGCACGCATGCATGCGTACCCGCTCGGGAGACTTCCCCTTCTGCGATCGCGGTGGGGCCGTCGACAGTGCCAAGCTGGTGAGGCCGTGCTGATTCTGGAGGCCGAGAACCAGCGGCGGCCGCACGAGGCAGCCGTTGGCTTGGACTCTTTGGAGGAAAGCTAATTGCGGGCAAGATGTTGGCATGGGAGGCACTTGCGACACAACGATTCTGGATGGACTGCAACTTAGTGTTGCTGGTATGATGCTGGCAATGCTGTTGACATGGGCAGTGTGATGCAGTGTATGTTTTAGTGGCTGAGATGGGCACCTAAAGCATCTGTGTGGCATGTGCGGCAGCTGCAATGCTGCACAGGCAGAGGGGCATCAGCGCTGGGCTAGGGTCACTATGGACAGCGGCGGATGTTTTGGTCCGCCATTCGTAGATGATCCTCAGATATTGTAGAAAACGTTGGCCCATATGGTCTCTGACTAACCTTTTCGCTTAGCGATTTGCATGATTGATCCGAGTTGTCCTTGCAAGTTGGAGAACAAAGTGGGACATACTTGGACCACATGACGTGTCTTTTAATCTTGCAGTTCAAGCTTTTGGCTTCCAAGCAATCTGTCGACAGAACATGTCAATAATTTGTCGCGTCTGCCCTTCCGAAGATGCCGGAGCCTCGGGCGTCTTCTCTCGCCAGCAAGTTTCAAACATTGGCAGTCGGTCGATGGCCACATGCAAGGCCTTCGATGTTGGCAGCGTTCGTCCGGACACCCAGTGCTCGGATTGTGACACATGGGACAGAATACTTTGGTGGTGGGTTCCGGCTTGCCCCGGCAACCCTGATCCTTCAAGCCCACTATGTGCAGTCAGTCGTGCGAGAGCTGGTGCTGATATGTCGTTTCGGCCGCCCAATTCAATTTCTAACGTTGCCTTCCCCCGCATCGTTGTATAAACCGTACGCAAGTTTAGCTTTGATCAAGATTTTGTTCTGTTGCGCCGCTGCGCCTGGATGTGCAGGCTTTCAGCTCAAAAGGTCTGCCAGCGCAGCAGTGGTACGATTCGAACGCGTGGTGTTGTTGCAGCAATGTTACAGTGCGAACGTTGGTTGAGTAACAGCCGGTTTGCGTATTTAGTTTCTTGCAGCTCGCTTGTTGCTGCATGTTCCTGAGCGTTCTCTGTATTGATAGTGCAGTGTTGCCAGAAACTTGACGGTGCACAAGACGATAACCCCGCCCGTTTTGCCGTCCAGTGTGCTTCATGCCAGGCCAAATGCGTGGCTGCGGCATTTGCTGTGGCAAAGGCCTCCTCTCTGAATAAGTCATGGGCCTCTTCGCGTGTTGTTTCAGAACTTTCGATCGAGGGAAATATCCAGTGTTCCAGGGACAGACAGGGACAGGGATGCTTCGTCCGACAAAACTGGCAGCCGGGTAGCTGTACGCTGTGTTCATCTCTGTTCTGAATTGCTCTGCAGATGTGCTGGAACCGAGGCCTCAGTAGTATGGACGGATGTCACTCCATCGGGCACTGCGCCCAACGGTGGACGGTATCGGAGATCCGTGGTGAACTCCGCCGGAGTGCTGTATTTCTACGTCGGAGGCCAGTGCCTTGGGCAGGTGCCTCGAGAGCGGAGAGCGTCGCCTTTGAAGGGGCTGGAGTTGAGGCAGCGCGCCGAAGTTTTGGACGATCGACCTGCAGGCCTGGATGAGGGCCCAGACATTTTGAGGGTTTGCATGGTCTTTGCAGCACCAGAAGCCACAGTTCCGTTAGGAACCCCACCCGCCCCCCAGGCGCCTCGCCTTTAAGCAAGCCGGGCCCAAACCTGCAGCGTGCCAAACACCCAGCCTGCTGCAACGTCGAACGTCAACACCACGCACTTGGACGGTGTATTCACCCTGCGATCTTGAGATCGTCTCCAGCGCCAGCTGCGCTGCATTGTCTGCATGCTTCCTAGTGTTTCTGAGCTCCAAAGGACTGCAGGCATCTAGGGGGAAGCGCACGGAAGATCTTCTGGGAGCGTTTGTTCGGACAGCCCTTGGCGGCACTTGATTTTCTGCTCATGTGGTTCAGGCAGCTGAATGTTTTCCCCAGCTCGGCCAGGCGGGCAGCCCAACCTGGTCTGACATTACCCCCAGCGGCGATCTGCCACCCACGGGACTTCCGAGATCGGCAGTGATAACTTCTGATGACGTCATGTGGCTTTTTGGGGCAGGCAGGGACCTCAGCGGTCATCAGCCGGCGAGTGGACGCTGCTTGGAAGTGTTGCAGCCAGGAACGCCAAACTTCAATGACCTTTGGAAGGTCGACCTGAAGGCACGGATTCTAGAAACCAGGATATGCTAATCTTTCGAAGCATGCACTTCTAAACCGGGCCAGGAATACAATCAGCCAGGCCCCAAGTTATGGCAAGCCAGCCTCCAAATCACCAGTAGGCAAGACAAGTTTGCCCTAGGAATCCTGGTCTTAACAGCTAGAGTGAAACGATGCTGCTTCTTCCAAGAAATCAGTGGCATAGACTACATCCAAGCTTCCCGAAAGTTTCTGCAAAGTACTACTGGTATTCGAGTACAGCAGTGGGCTTAAGCCCCCCAAACGCTGGGGTCCATGTTTCAGCTCTGAGGGCAATGCTGTGTGGGCATCTTCAGGGGTCCTAGAAGGCATTTCTAGGATCGTTATAATTTTCATCGGTACATAATTTAAGGAGAGGGGGTCGATGTTAGCAATAAGCCGTCGGCGGTACAAGTGGCTGGTGGCCCGGCGTGAGCTGCCGGCTGTGTGGCCAATTAGCTGAGAGCTGCTCGCCGTTTCGTTTGGCAGGCCACGATTGCCTTCACGGAGGTGTTCCCTCCCGGTGAGCTGCCTGCTGGACGATCTGGCCACACGTCGGTGGTGACGAAGGATGACGTCATGTGGATGTTTGGTGGAAGCATCAGCCTGAGCCATCAGCGTCCTCACATCAGACCGTGCGTGGCAGTGTTGCAGACAAGGCGGCAGGAACGACCTTTGGAAGATCGACCTGAAGGCATGGCCTGTTGCATTGCTTGGAGCGGGGGGTGCTCCTTGTGTGCGGGTGCTGTGTTAAGAGCGGAGAGGTCAGCTTTTCGCAGCCAGCACTGAGAGTTGCAGCTAGCCAGCCGAAAGAGGGCGTTTGTTTCCAACAAGTCTCCATGGCGTGCTGCCACCACGGCTTCGATGCGGCCCTAGTTAGATGTGCGAATAAAAAACAGGAACCCTTCAGCTTCTGTTTCAGAAGTCGTAGGTATCAGTGGCCTCGACCACATTCCACAAACCTGGCACGCTGGCATTGAGGACGAAACGTGAGGACAAGAAACGAACCCTGGCCGTTCGGTTTCCCATGTGTCTCATCAAGTGGGTCTTAAATCAGGAATATAGCTTAAACGATGAGGCTTGAATATTAGGATTTCAGCCATCTTCCTTAATTAAGGGGTATTATTGGGCTCTCTGGGTAGAGTGGGGTCCTTTGGCGTCTCCTTTTGCCACCCGAACCACCCGAGAAACAGCATTCGTCCGGTGGATGACTGCAGGCATGAGATTTTGACAGGGGGTCGAAGTTTTGGTAAAAACTTGGCAGGACCCACATGTTCTTCAAATTGGTAGAAAACCGAGGTTCTATCACACTCGATGCCGTAGTTCGCAGAAGAGAGCCGAATCCCTTGCTCGTGCGGCTCTTTCTTCGTCTTTTTCGTTAAGTTTTCCCACAGTGGGTTCATCATGCTGACAAACGGAAATCATCGGAAATTGTTGCAAGGCACTTTGCCAGCCTTGATACTTGCACGTCCGTTCCCCATGTCTTGGCTGAGAGCCAACTGCGGGTTTTCTTGCCCAATACTGAGCAAGTCAATTGCTCGCGCTCTGCAAGAGACTTGGGGTTGATGACTCATACAAGTAGTGTTTTATATTGGCATAAGGCATAAGCCCAAGCCCGCACCTTCATTTCAAAAGAGAGCTGAAACCTGAAGCCGTACCTGGTGTCACCCCTGAGCCAGGGTTCAGTGATTAGCCCGTAGATCCTAGGGCGAAATTGAGCCGCTATTTCCCCCCGCATCCCGCGCACCCCGTCACTTCTGAAGCAGTTCGAAGTAGCCAACACTAGCAACAACTCAGACGGCGCGAAGGCACAAAATAATGAAAGCTCGGAACATCCTGTGTGCAGCAGACAGTCGGTGGTTATTGGTAGGCGGCTGCAGCTGATTAACAATCGTCCAGGCTGCAACACCGACCTGGTCGGAAGAGTCCCCTTCCAGCTCACCGGGTGGGCGAACGCACCACGTTGCTGTCATAACCTCTGATGATGTGATGTGGATTTTTGGCGGATCAGGCCGGCAACTCGGATGTGAGCACGGTGAGAGGGACGTCATGTCAAGACTTTGCAATCGAGGCAACACGAATGACCTTCATAAGATCGACCTGAAGGCGACCCGAGTTGGATGAGTTTTGCCTTCAGAAAGCCAGAGACCACCAGCCCAAATGTCCCGGAGATCAGAGAGTTCAACACTGTGTAAATTGGGCATACAGCTGAAACCAGAGTGGCCTTAATCTTATGATTTAAGCTATAAAGGATGAATACTGCTTAAACAAGAGCGGCCTTTATGATGATTGAAGCTGTATTCCTGAATTGAGGGGCGCGTGGCTCTCAGGCTCATGGATCCAGAGTGAGAGTATTTTGCTCGCCCCTCCGATGCGCAGTCTTGCAAAGGCATCAAGAAACAAGACTCTAAGATACCTCGACGCCGGTTTAGGGTTTAGAGTAACCACGGCAAGGATCCACGCACGCCTGTGCAAAAAAGGGTGACAAAATCCTGCATGCTGTGCTCTTTAGAAGTGTCGTTTGCAGCTTCAGAGCCGAGGCGATCCCGTTAAAACTCGACTGCCCATGTTTGAGAAGCCGCCTACAACGTAAGCTCCAAGCAGGAGAGGACATCGAGATTTGTGACCAGGGCTTGAGGCTGCAAGGTCGCGCTGGGCGGCAACTTCAAGCGCAAAAAAACCCATGGGGGGCTGTTTCGCATATTTCCGGAGGAAAGACAGGACCAAGGACGATCGGCGCTAGAGCATCCGGGCCAGATAATGAAAGTTTGCACGCCGTGGATTGGCCTGGGCAGAGCAATGCCTTAGACCTGATCATGAACTGAACCAATTATAAACGAACAAGGGGGCCTGCCTGTGTTTTAAACCCTAATCCCTATACCCTAAACCCCAGTCCTTGGGAGTAAAAAGGGTCCCCGCGATTCAAGATTCTGTTTTGGTGTTCTCACAAATGTCGTCGGGCTGACTCATGCCTGTTTTTGCTTTTCTGCAGCTTAGAAGTGTTTTGAGAAGTCCCTCAGCTGGGGCCATATGTAGCAAGTAGAAAAATCGATAGGTTGCCTGTTCTTTTGGCTTGTTCATGAAGTCCCACGGACTTTCCAGAGATTTCTTGCATTGCCAGCTTGCCGGGACATGCTGTGTGCTTTTTCTGGACTACTGTTAAGGAGGTTAAACCAAGTTACCATAATCAAGATACATGGTACATAACACGGTTTCCGTGTTATGGTAGCTTCAATTAGGTTCCCGCACAGCATCCTAAACCCAAAAAGCCTACAAACCGGAAAACCTTGCCTGCCAGGCCACACCCCTGGCCTGGAACTCCGTCAGCCCTTCGGGCTCTCGACCCAGCGGCCGAAACTCCCACGCCGCAACGATCTCCGCTTCGGACGTGATGTGGCTCAATGGGGGACATGACGGCTCCAGCCACAGCCCCAGCAGTCCCAGAACCTCCAACACCCCGGAACGAAGGAATATGCCTGCCGTAGGATCCTATTTTTTTAGATCTTATGCTGTTATTTCTTTTCTAGGTATATTCCTTGATCGAGGGGTTTTGGAGGTTCTGGCTCTTCCTGAAAGTGCATGTGGACCGTTTTAGAATGTGTTGCAGCCAAGCCTGCGTGACTTCGCTCTGGTGGATCGACACGCAGGCAGGCATTAGGGTTTGGAGCTTATCAAGTGCGCTAGAGGCTGCCAGGCTGCAAAGAGACCTGAGCCAAGAGGGTTTAGGCTTGATGGTTTAGAGGGGATGAGAGCATATTGTGTGCGGGTGTTGGCTGAGGATAGAGAGATCTCGCACTTTGTACCTTGATAAATGGGGCAGAAAGCCCAAGACGGCTTTTGTTTGGAAAGACAGGGGCATGCGGTACTCATAAAAGGGGCTGCAAGAAGGGAAGATGCAGACCGAGTTCGCCAAGCTGTGCTGTCAGAAGGCAGAAAGATGCAGCCTAGCCCACAAAATCAACCACACAGCAAGTCCGTGAGAGTTTTTGCCTAGAGAACTTGATACCCCTTAATCGCCTAATTCCTAATATTTAGGCCTCATAATTGAAGCCACATTCCTCATTTAAGGGGTATTGGGCTCTCTGCGTGTTTGACGCGTCCGATACGAAGTCCAGTCGGTAGAAACTCAATGAAGAAGGGTGGAGCTAGAGGCCAGAAAGCCAGGTTGTCAAGACATGCTGCAGTTCAATATAGTTATATATGGTCACGCGCTCCGTGGCCCCCCCCTTCCCCCCCAAAGGTCAATGGTCCGGCTATAGGGTGGGGCCCCGTCTGGTGTGGGGTGTGGGTTCCCTCTTCCCCCTGTGGGGTGGTTGTGGGGGCTTTGGGGTGTTTGGTCTAGCTTAAGCTTTTGAGTTTTGGGTTTTACAAGGTATAAGGCTTCGAGTCGACAAGGGCCTAGGGCCTAAGGGAGGATTTGCGGTGTATGTTCTGCTTCCGGCTTGGAGCCTGCAGTTAGGTGGGGTTTAGGGTTGGGTGTAGGTCTTAAGTACAAGTTAAGGTTACTCAAAACACGCTGCGTTATAGGGTTTACGGCTTGCTTGCGAAGGGCTTGTGTATGAGCCCTGGCCGCCAGCAGAACCCCACCAGAGAGTGGCAGCTCCAACGGCCCCGACCCCTTTCCGCAAACGCCAGCCCCCCCCCCCAACCCCTACCAGACCATATCATTTGCGGGGCGCTGCAGACGCCTGACCATATATGATGCAGGGCTGCCACACCCCCCTTCCCCCCCCCACCCCATGGTATCCTCCCCCCTTCCCCCCCGCCCCCCCTGTGGTGTGGGGCCTGTGGTGGTACTCTTTTTGCCGCGATGTTCTTATGTCAGATGCTGGAAACTACTGAGCCGATTGCCGCTTTCCGCACACGGCAGGGCATAGTGCGACACTCCGGATCCGCGCACAAGGCCCAGGGGCGGGCAAGGTGCGGGCCGGGGGCGGGGCGGGGCGCAGGGCGGGTGGCGTGCAGCAGCAGGCCAGCAGGGGGTGGGGGGATACCATGGGGGGGGTGTGGAGGAGAAGCAGCCAGACCTCGGAAACATAAGCCTTGAACCGTACGCCCAGGAGGGGCGGGGGTAAGGAGCTGGGGTGGAAATGTATTCACTCGGGTGGAGCTCTCCCTCTCGACTATCGCCGTCTGCCTCATACCCACAGGGTTTTCCAAGCATAGTAGCTTCAACTACACATTTTCTCAGTAGCTCCTAGTCTGTTGCATGCCAGGCCGCGAGTCCAACTTGGTCAGAACTGAGCCCTACGGGCACTCTGCCCACTGGCCGTTTCGCCCACCAAGTGCACTGGACCAAGGGGGTTCTCTGGCTTCATGCGGGCAGCGCACAAGGATGTAGTGGTCCCACCGGCCGATCCCTCGGCTCGCCCACAGAGAGGGGATCGTTCATGGACATCAGCCCTCGCATTGCACTTGCCTTGCTGCCAAGACTTCACTGACATTTGGTCGCTACCTGTGGGTCCGGAGGAGCCCGAAGGGTCACAGCCGCGGTTGGCTTCGGACGTAGCATATAGAGCCCATATGAAGAAGAACTCGTCAGCAGATATCGTGCAGACAGAGTACTACAAGGAGAAGCTTCTTATAGTGAGAAGGCTTGGGCTAGCTTGGGTGCAAGTAGGAATTTCGCTTTCAACTTTCAATTGTTCACGTCAGGTTCATCGAAGACTTCTTGCAGGCACCATTAAAACCCCCAAGCCCGAAGCCCGAACCTCATCCGAATTCAGAAGCACAAGTCGCCTGCATGTGCAGTCATGCTTCGAGCATCGCTCTTTAGACCCCTCAAATCCTCAAGGGGGCGAGTGTCCTTTTTGTGAGAGTCGAAACCGGTCTTGTGCAGGCGATGCCCTGGTTTTTTGCCCCTTCACTATAGACCTGCTCCATGCTAAGCTGCTGCCAACACCCAAGGGCTGACAACCTTGAACCTTGAACCTTGGGACTCTTTGACTTGCATTTTGATCCCAATCCCAAAACCGGAAAGTCATGGGGCCAGGAAACAAGCACGACGACGGTTCGCGACCCAGCCTGGCTGTCCCGGGTGTGTGGGGCTTATCGTGACCATGGTCTGGCAAAAAAAGGCCTGCAATTTTGAGCCATTCGGATGTAGGGGCCTAGTTATTTCGTAGTTTCATCGAACCATCGTCGTAAGGCTTCCGCATGATATCTCTGCAATTCGTCTGCGAGGACCACGAAATCTCCCTCACCGAGCGTGCTTGTTTGCATCGTCCCTCCAAGGCTACTGCCTCGACGACGACGAGCATCACTGGCACTGCTACTAGCACAAGCACGACAGGAACCAGCAGTATCTCAACTACAACTACATACAGCTCGACCAGAACCACCAGCACCACCGCAAGCATCACGACCACAACCAGCGCCAGCACCACCGAGAGCACCAGCACCACAAGCACAAGTGCAAGCGCCACGAGCACCAGCTCGAGCAGCAGTAGCAGCAGCACCAGGACTTCCAGCACGACTACAGCGAGCACGAGCACCACCAGCACAAGCTCGAGCGTCAGTAGCAGCAGCAGCAGGACCACCACCACGACCTCCACGACCGCCACGACCACCATGACCACCACGACCACCACGACAACCACGACCACCGCCACGACAACATCTACCCCCACAACCACGAGCAGTGGCACCAGCACCACTGCAACCACCAGCACCACAACTTCTAAAAGCAGCAGCTCTAGCACTACCAGCAGTAGCCGGACTTCAACAACCAGCACCAGCAGCACCAGCAGTAGCACCGGGACGCGGACGGAGTCGACATCGACCAGCACGAGCAGCAGCACCTCCGGCAGCGATACCACGAGAAGCAGCACGGCAACGCTGTCCAGCACGACGAGCTCGGTGACATCTTCAACAACGCAGACGTGGAGCAGCACAACTTCAACGCCGGGAAGTGCAGAGGAACTGGCTGAGCTGCAGCGGGAGCTTCTCCGTCAACGGGAGGCCGCCGAGGCCATCGAGCGGGTTGATGCCACAGAAGAGGCTTTGGTTGCCGAGTTTGCAGCCGCCTTGGAGTTGAACAGCAGCCAAGGCATTTTGGATGAAGCATCAGCAGATGTTGCCACAGGGCGCCTGAAGATGGTTGCCTTCTCTCCCGCGGCTTTGGATGGCAACGTGACGGTCATCGCCGTCTCGAGTTCCGAGGTCGAGGTTTCACGTGTGGAGGTCTCCCCACAGGTGCTTGCTGAAGCTGCCGCAGAAAACGGTGTGTCCGGGCCCATTCTACTCAGCATCACCACCGTCGTCGACCCAGTCGCAACGAAGTTCCAGGACCGACGGGTAGAAGGAGAAGTCACGTCTCTGGTCAGCTCGGGCGTGGTGAGCATCAACTTCCGCACGCCCGACGGCACAGGCCTGGAAGTGGACAGATTGACCTCGCCTTTGCGCCTTGTGATCCAAACGGACGAGAGGAACGCCAGCTGTGCTTACTGGAGCGAAGACGAAAAGCGGTGGTCCTTCCACGGGGTCACGACTTTGCCGGGCTCAGTGCCGGGCCAAATTACTTGCCTCTCCAGCCACCTGTCGCTCTTTGGCGCTGTGAGCCAAGTCATTTGGGACAATGCCTTCCTGGTCCTGAAATGCAGCACTGCTTGGGAGCTCTTTACCGCCGAGGGCTTCCAGGAAGCACTCGGCCAAGTCTCTGGGACCCACTGGCAGTCCTCACTCCCTGCCATCTCCGTCTTCACCTTCCTTGGGCTCTTTTGCCTGGTGTTGAGTCGGGCGGCTTACGTCGACTGCAGGAGCTGGAAACTGGTGCCTTGGGAGGAAATTGAGCCAGTGCTCTTCAAACAGACCACGGAGCCAAGTGAAGAAGAGGCTCCGAAGGGATGGGCCTGGCGACGAGTGGCAGAGGTGAAGGAGTGGACTTTCTGGTGTGCAGGCATCTGCTTCGGGATCTCAGACATCGCGGCTCTGATCTTGGAATGCAAGGCTCCAGAGGCAAGCGTGAATCGCTGCATCACGTCATTGCATGCTCACCGCAGCGGTGTGGCCAAGGATAGCTTGGAAATCATCGTGCAGCCGGATGACAGGTTCGAGTTGCAGGAGGAGCCAGTATCCAAGCAAGTGACCCGCTCAGCAGCAAGGCGCAGCCGCTTTTCCCGACTTGTCTCGAATGCCGTCGCCGACAGCAGCATGAATGGCTTCACCGTGGCCCTCCGAGACTTGGGTGCCCGATGGAACGTCCACATCCATGGAGCCACTGCCGTGCGGTCCATCCTAAAGAGCCGATGGTATGCCCGTGTTTGCCTCCTGTTTCCTGCCTTCCACCCATGGCTCGCTGTGCTGCGACTCAGCATCCTGACCTCCTACAAGGTGCGAGTCGCCCTGATCTTCCTGAAGCTCTGTACGGCGGGTGCCACCAATGCCGTGTTCTTCAGCAGTACATCGCCTGCGCCGGGCTCGGATCCATCTTGTTTGCCCACGCAGAATTTGCTGGAGCAGCTCGTGCAGAACACCGTCGTGGGAATGATGTCGGCGCTGCTCGGTGACTGTGCCATCTTTACTCTCTTCTTGGTTCAAAACCGGAAGCCTGTGGAGAAGGACTGGACAGAAGCTGCGAAGTCCCGGCAAATAAACGTGTGGAGATGTCGGGCCGCGCTGTTTTGGTTCCTGTGGCTTCTCTACTCGACATCATGCCTGCTTTACGTCATGATGTTCTTGGCCACGTCCCGCCTCGAAGACGCACACGGCTGGTACTTGGCAACCGGCGTGAGTTTGCTGCAGGATTTGGTGGTTCTACCTCTCTTCATGGCCCTGTGCCTGGGCACCATGGCTTCCTTGGCCCTTCTGAGCAGCGGCATTCGCGCGAGGACGGAGGCCAAGTGGCTCGGAGGCCGAGAGGTGCAGAGAGAGAGAGAGCCCCAACCGGAGGAGATTCCGCAGAGCCGCCGCGACTCCTTACACTCAGACAGCTTCTTAGAGAGCCGCATCCAGTGCCCCCCCAAGCAGCAGCAATTCTCGGAAATACTTCCTGGCACTCCGTTGGAGGGTGGCTAGGCGATTACAGCTGAGCGACTCTCGGAGAGTTGGCTAATAGTACAGATTCTGATGAATTCTTTTTGCAAATCACCACTGGCCACGTGCATGTGCTGCGAGTGGCGGGCTTTTTGGTGTTTATGTGCGAAGGTGTGGAAGCCTTTGCAGGTGGCGTGCGCCACAGTCAGTTTTACAAGTGTCACTTTCGTGCCAGGTCCAGGTACCGATCCTTAACAATCCCTGAGTTCTCTCGCTGGTTTAACTCAAGACCCCAACTAAGCATGATCTTTGGGTCCGTGGAATTCGGCCCCTAAAGTTTTTCCTTTCTCTTTGGGTACACTGGCTAGCTGGCATGGAGCACATCCTTTTCCGATTGCTGCCGTCGCAGGAACACTTTCGTGATCGAGGTTCTTTACACCACGAAAGACACCCGACACTGCTGTCAACAAATATAGTGGCTGATTCTTGCTTGACAGTTTTTCCGGCCTGTCCCATAGAGCTTGGCCCCTCATAGATAAAAGGTCTTAGTTGCACTGTAGCAATTGATGCAGGATGCACATGTTGAAGGGCTTCAATGAGCAGCCAAGCACATCGGCCTGTCGTGTAAGCAGATGCTCCTCCTCCTGTTGCTTTTCTGCGATGATGTCCCGACGTGAGCTACGCTCCCCAGCATTGGCAGCGCTGCCTTTCGCATGGTGACCGGCTTGACAGCAAAGCATGCACGTTCAAGTGCTAGAAGCAATATCTTGGATTGGATGACATCAGGCATGTTGTGCTTTCTGACAAGCCGAATACCCAGCACAAGCATGTAACTTATCAGTCAGAGTTGATAGTACTCTAGTGTTAGTTTCGTACCCGACTGTGTATTTAAAGTCGGAGACTTGCGTCAGAGTCCGGGAAGCCAGTCAGGTCTCTTGCCAACTGGTTCGTGCGGATTTTCCAGAATTTTTTTTGGCCATCGGCAGAACTGCCACCCTGATCGGCTTGACGGAAGGATCCACGCTCAAATGCGAATGGCCGAGCGGAACGCCCTAGGCGGCGGCATGGAACTTACCAACTGGAATTGTACAGAAAAGACCCCAGTAGCCGGCAAACCCTCAGACAACAGTAAGCGATCAAAATTGCAGGCGCATGCTTCTGAATCGGAATTCATTGCAAAAGCATGGACCCATGTCATCCCATGTCATCAGTATTTGTGATGGCAACGATTGTAGAATGCATAGATGCGCCGCAATGCATTCGGCTCACGGCTAGCAAAACAGCCCCACTGCTGTTCCCGATCCAGTGAAGCCTCGGACCCCTCGCCATGGCTGTCAGTGACCCTTCCCTGACCGCGAAGCTTCCGGGAATGTCAATGCGAGCAAAACGTTTGTCATTCGTGAGAGAGAGAGAGAGAGAGAGAGAGAGACTATGGGGGGATCTGGCATATGCGATTTGTCTATCGAAAGAACGGATGAACATTGTTTTTCGTTATCGTAGACTTTAAGGCTTTAGCTTGACATTGTTCGCCGTTCTTACTTCACCCCCCGTGACCGTCAACACGACGGGTGGGCATGATGCCCGGGGGCGCTGACCCGTCCCCATGCCCGGGAGAGAGAGAGAGAGAGAGACAGAGAGAGAGAGAGAGAGAGAGAGAGAGAGAGAGAGAGAGAGAGAGAGAAAAAGAGAGAGAGCGAGAGAGTCGAGAGTTGAAGCAGGAGCATCGTGGTTAGAGTGGCAAAGCTAAGGCTTGTTTCCGAATTTGTGGGCACGTTCCTGCTCGTGCTGACTGTCGGATGCAATGTTTTAGGCAGCACGAGCACGTGGGGTGGCGTGTCCATCGCTTTCGTTCTCATGGTTTCCATCTATGCAATGGGAGCAATCTCGGGGGCGAATTTTAACCCTGCGGTGTCGGTGACTTTGGGCATCTCGAAGTCTATGGGAGGGCCCGGCCTCGATTGGAAGACTGTCGGTCAATATTCGGCGGTTCAGATGCTGGGCTCTCACTAAGTACGCAGTTCGATCTGCTGGTTGTTCCGGGCAACACTTTGTACGGGATTTGGTGCTGATATTTGTTGTTGACTCGAGCTTAACCTGTGTAAGGCAAGATAATTTTCACAGGTCTCCATGTAATTTCATGCCAACGTATTATTGTGCACCTATGCAGTTCTAACAGCAGAACCATGTTATAGCAAGTCAGTGCGCTTCACCCGGGCAGCAACCATTCGCGGTAGGCTTCTTGCTCTTCACGAGATGGGCAAACTAGCTGGGCAAACCTTGGAGAGTATAAAGCACGAAGAGAGGTACATCAATTGGAGGGCTTTATCGGTGCGGAGGGAAAAGCACTTGACCTGAGGACCCTGGCTGGTATTTCAGCTGCTGTTTGCTACTGCTTGCTGTACGGACGCAGCTTTAACTTGACGCCATCGGAGGGATTTGGCTGGCTCAATGCCGGGCTGTGCGAGAGCCTCTACACGCAGCTTGTCTGACCATCTTTGCCAGTTTCCGTCGCTTCAGACCGCATTAGATTCGATGTTCGAGGGTCTGTTCTTAGGTTGGTGCTTACGTTCGTGGTCCTCAATGTGGCTGCAGCCCGCAAGAATGCCACAGAGCGCAACGAGTACTACGGCATGGCCATTGGGTTGGTCATCATTGCAGGAGCCTATGGTGCGGGAGCTGTGTCCGGGGGCTGCTTCAATCCCGCTGTGGCTCTCGCAATCGATGTGTCAAGCGCCGCCCGTGGATTTGGCTGGTGTGTGCCCTACGTCCTTTTCGAGCTTGCTGGGGCAGCAGCAGCAGCTGCTCTTTTCAAGCTTGTGCGTCCTGAGGATTTCGGTGGTGAACGCTCCGGGAAGGCAGAGCTTGTGTCGGAATTCCTGGGAACATTCGTGCTCGTTTTGACCGTCGGTTTGAATGTGCTCGCCAAGTCCCCGGCTGGTGCACTGTCGATTGCTGCAGCCTTGACATCCATGATCTACGCTGTTGGTGACGTCTCCGGAGCTCATTTCAATCCAGCTGTGACCCTGGCAATTCTTGCATCAGGAAGGAGCGCGCAGTTGACTCCGGTGAAAGCTGGCATGTACGTTGCTGCTCAAACATGTGGTGGAATCGCCGCCGCTGCCATGTACACAGTCATCTACGTTGGGCAATCTTTCCCGCTAGGCCCGGTCGCCGGCAGCACGTGGTCGCAGGTCGTGGTCGCAGAGACAATCTTCACCTTTCTGCTGAGCTTTGTGGTTCTCTGCGTTGCCGTGTCATCGAGGACGAAGAGCTCACAGATGTTCGGACTCCTGATCGGCTCCTGCGTTACTGTTGGAGGCTTCGCGATTGGTGGAATTTCCGGCGGATCGTTGAATCCGGCAGTCTCTGTGGGCATTGCATCCGCCAATCTTCTCAATGGCGGGCTCTTTTACACGGCTCTGATTTACTCCGCACTGGAGCTTGCTGGTGGAGCCATCGCAGCTGGAGTGTTCAGGCTCACGCATGAGGTGGACCTGGACTCGGCAGAGAAGGAGAAGCTGGTTGCATGAAGCGCGCAGCAGCTACGGCACGCTGAAGGTTGCAAAAGACTGCATGCAGATCCCGCGATGAAGTGACAACACAGTGCACTGCAGAGGAAGGGATCTTGATAGCATGAATGCATGTTGGTGACAGCTGCTGGCTCCAAAGCCTGGTCCCGCGTGTGTTCAGCGAAGGCAGAGACTTAGAGTTGAGAGTCACTCCGAGAGTGACCGGGTGGCGTCGCTTCGCAGCACCCGCCAAGTTGCTGCAAAGGACATCGCATGCAAATGGCAACTTTGCGCTCCGCTCTGCGCAGTTCCCTGCCTCTGGTGGACCAGGTTTCGTTCTCGGGTGTGGCCAGCACCATGAAACCCTGATGTTGTGCCGACAGGCCATCAGGCCGACAACTTCTTTGCAGCTAGTCCGGAACTTCGCAACTACGCAGCTTGTCATTAAAAGATTCGTTGAGCATGTGACATTACATGCCGTTAGATTGCAGTCGAAAGTGCATCTCAGGAAGGCTGCCTCACCAGAAACTCCACTCATGCACTACAAAGCGACGCAGCAGGTCTGGGTCTCCTTTAAGCTTTCCACCGTCATGTTGAAACCCGCTCCAACAACCCTAGGCTACCAGCTCCATTAACCATCGAATCTTCTATGTCAATGTGGTGCCGTGGCTGCATAGCCCCGTGCTGGGAAGACGTGGGGGAGCTCTGTCTCAATTCGTGAGGTCGCCATGGTTCTCGTGTACGACCTCGGGTCGTCCATGCTGGACTTCTGAGTGTCAGAGTTTTTAAGTAACAGGCGCGGTCGGCATCCAAGCAGACGCTTCGGCAACACGTGCAAGAGGATCTGCGATCTCGCTGTTCAAGCAATGTGCTTGCCAGGCTAGAAGTGCGAAGAAGCTTTTCGTTCATTCGATTTTTTGTGGCTCGTAGCAGGAAACGATGGATGGGTTTTGACACTGATGTTACAAGTTTACTGCTCCAGCATCACACCGCGAAACATCACTTGCAAGTCATGCATCCGCTTTCCAAAGTTGTTTCTGTTGTACTGAAGCATCGCGCCTTCTTGCTCGGCTGACGGCCCGGTGCAGGCGAGTTCGACTCAGTCGCGCGGCGGGCCGTGAGTTCTACGTGATTTGTTCTGCCTTTGATGCCGCAAGTTTTGGCTCTACAGATTTTGTAGCCATGCCTCGCCTGGCAGTGTCTTCCATGGCGGCCGTGGCCGCACTGGCGGCCGGGGCGGCTTTCGTTGCAGCGCCTGCAAGAGCGCCCGTGGTTCCTAACAAGCGCGGGCTTCGGCATCTTCACTGCCGACGTCTAGCGATCGTGCTGCAATGCGCGTGCTGAGGCCGGCCCCATCGGGAATGGCTTCGTCTGCCTCTGAACCTGCTGGCTGGGGATTGGCGGCAGCAGGCAGAGTCCTTGTCGCTTAGCGCGTGCGAAGACTTTTGCCTTTCGGGCCCGTTGACAGGCCTGGCCCTCGGTGCGCACGTGGGCTTGGCAGCAGCCTGGCGTTCCAGAGCTTCCACAGCAGCCCGGGCTGCAAAAGATGCCCCCGTCTGGGCCTCAGGAAAGTGGTCGAGCATTGAGCGCCTTCTCGCCTGTTGTCGATGGTTCAACCTTAGGCCACCAAGTATGTCGAGACCGTCGCCGACGAGAGGCTGTTCGAGCAGGCTGGGTCCAGGTGACTCTGAAAGATTGTGCCATGCAGAGCTCCGATGTCTGAGGTCTACCTGCAGTACACGTCCGAGTACTTGAAGGGACCGCTGTACTGGCACCCCGACAAGCTGCATCTCGATTGCACTCAGGCGTATTGCAGGGCGATGCCTCCTGCGGTCCCGTTTCAAGGCAGGGCTGGCTTCCCGACTACCCCGGCACGCCAATGATCAAGGAGGGCAAGTACACCTCCCACGTCATCGGAAACCTGAAGGCTGGGAGGCTTGCTCTTGAATGTCAGTGCTGCATGATCCGATCCCGCTTGAGGCTTTCAGCTCCAACGAGCTCGCATTCTTGTCGATGCTTTTCTTTGGAGTTGGCCTCTACGGCAACCTGCAGTTCCTGGGCCAGTGAGCATTGGGACAATGAGAGTTTTGGCTGAAGGCACGCCGAAGAGGTTCACATATGAGATGCAGGCTTGTCTTTCTGTTTGAGAGTTTCCCACATGGAGTCTCAAGCGCCGAACCGCAGCTTTAGACCTGCGGCAGTCGGGACTGCGAGTCTTGAGTTTCGACTTTCGCAAACCTGGCGCCCAGCCTTGGACCCCGGGCAGATTCCTATTCCTTGCATTTGATTGTGGAAAGCTGTCTGTGCAGATCTTCGACCATGCTTGAGCCCAGGTTCAACTTCTACGACCCCCAGTGGGCGAAGGTTGATGCGGGTGGCTTCTTCAATGTCTCCTACATCGTGGAGTCCTTCTTGCTCCCCATCTCCTTCTTCATGCACATTGCCTGCTACATTCAGAGACAGAATGGCAAGTGATACTCCCTGGATGAACATTGAACTCAGCAGCAGAAGTGCCATCTTTTTAAAGCCTTCGCAGGATACGCCCAGCTGCAGACAAAAGAGCTCGCTGCTGTTCAGCCTGCAACAGCTAAGCTTGCCACAGCAAAGTCTAGACTGGGGGATATCTTCATATATGGACAGGTTGGCTAACATCGGCCGAGGCTTCAATGGATCCTCCAAGGACATTGCCAGGTTTGGAGCTTTGTCCTGATGCTTCGGTGATGTCGAGGATTTGTGGGCATGCTCCACCAACAGCGACAGCCTCACTGGCGGCCCAGGCCTTGAGACTCTCACAGTATTGTCAGACAAATGGGCATATCTCATTGCGGACGTCTTGATCGTGGAAGGCTTGCAGGGATCTCCGACATCAGCGGCACTTGACAAGTACCGGGCATTCGGCGAGGCGGAACAAAGCCCTTTCGATTTTCGCTCTCTGTTTCAATGTACCTTGAAGGTCCTTATCCATGGTGTCCATGACCGCGGGTCTGCTCGTGTCCCGTCTCAAGCTGACATGTTTTTTCTGGGCTGAAACTGGGACACTTGTGTTGCAGGCATGGAGGCAGCAACGCCGTGGCTGTGCTCGGCCTAGTGAAGGGCGGTTGAAAGCGGCTGCGGTGTCCCAGCAGACTCTCGCAAACCAATGGCGGGTTTGCGATTCAACAGCTGCAACGTACGTGAAGGTGGTACTTTGCCTTCTATTCTCTCCGGACGTGCAAAGTTCTGGATGGTAAAGCAGTGCTTGGGGGAAATCTCAGATCGAAGTTGTGACTTCATGTGTGCTCGGCGCCCAAATACAGCAGCTGGATCGCTGAATGCTAGCCAAAGTCGTGCCGAGACCTGTTTTCTTGGTGCCAAGTGCCAGGAAGTTTTGTGACGTATACGTCTGTGCGGAACACAAGTCCTAGGATCAGAGACAACACGACGAGAAGCCGGTGCTGTGCGCTCTTTTCACATCTCTCGCGTACTTCCTGCCAGTGGTCATTGCAGAAGAGTAGCACTCACGAAAGCATAGCAGGCATAGCAGGCATAGCTGCTAGGCGCATCATTTGCTCCAGACGCTGAGGTCGATCAGCTCGAAGAGCCTCCGAGGCCTGGGATTCGCATTTCCAGAAGGCGTTGTTCGAACGCGTGTGCCGTAGGTGGTGCAGACCGCACCACTTTTTGCGTGTGGCTCAGTTTCGCAAACCGAACAACAAATTGACACTTATTTCACTTTCAGCGGTTCGCAGGAAGTGGAGCCAGCAACGCCAGAAGGTTGGTCGTCAAAGATGGTCGCCCCAGTTGAGTTTTTGCGAACAGTGCATCCTGTCTAGCTTTCGCAGTCATTCTTGCTTGTGGCAGGGTATTGTTCCACCAGATGACATTCGGCGGAGGATCAGATTAACACGTGGTATGCTCGAGAGAGACATCCTTGGTGCGGTGCCTCAGCCTTCTCTCACGAAGTATGACGCTGTCAATGTGTGCACAGCATCTTTCTCCACTCGGTTGTGCTTCGCACAGCATACCTCGGGGACACCGTGTGGGAGTACATGGTTCTGCGACATCAGTACCAGCAGGCAGGTCGGCAGGTCGTCCAAGCTCGTCGGATACCAGTTGGCGAGACCTGCTGAGGTAGTCAGAAGTCCATTTACGGAGAGTCAGGAGGTTCGCTGATGTTCTGGTGTTGGTCGCATGGCTTCTGTGGGGGCTATCCGCAGGTACGCACGATACGGCAGGGACGAGCTGCTGTCTTGCTTCATCGCAGTGGGCCGGCGGCCAAGACTTGACTCAGTCGAAGTCTTGAACTACTCAAGAACCTCTTCTTACACTGCTCCTAGTGAACTATCGGAATTCCATGATGCATCTGCCGTGTGGCTACGCGAAGCAAGATTCTAACTAAGGGCTCTCACTGGTCGGGAGCGTGAAGTGCTGCTCGAAGGGGCCCAAAAGGTATGGCTCCAGAAGGTCTGGTGCTTTTGCCTCCACTCTCCGGTTCTACTGGCAGAAATTCAAAACAGGGCTCTCATGCCATGCACTGTGCCAGGTGAGGTGGAACTTCGAGGGAATCAGGCAAGTGGGCATCAACATGTGCGCCATCGCACCTCCGGCAAACTACTGAAGCTTGTGCATGTTGATGGATTTGCAGGTACTGCTGTGCTCTGGGTTTGCGGACCCTCCTGGGATACGCCTACATGGATGCGGCGTCTTCGGACAAAGACTTGACAAGAATCATCAACGAGGCAGACAGTGGAGCACGCACAGCGCACTCGGCACAGCCTCTGGATCTGCGCCTTCGCACGGCAGATTGGGCTTCTTCAGAAGCCTGGGATGGAGGATCAGATGCTTGCCGAAATCACAGGAGGTGCTCTGTGTCCGGGGGCATCCCTGAGTTCTGGTTGGCTTCCTCGCTCGTGAGGGATTTTCGACCCATCCTTGCGTCCTCCTGGCAACTACTTCTTGGTGCCACTCCGAGCGCTTTAGAAGACTCATGAGTCATGAGCTTTCACGACGCCAGCCAACTGGTGCGGCTAAGGCACTCGCTCCGCTGGGCCACGCAGCACTTCGCCTCTACGTTAGCCGGTACCTCTGCGAGAGGCAAGGTCGGAACGTAACGTTGAGCTGAGGTCGACAGAGTTTGCGCTCTGCATCTCTGAGCCATCGCAGGCCACTGATAGCAAGCGAGTTCATCTACCGGGTCAAGCTCGCGTTGTGGCCTCAGCCAGGAGCAGCATTTCTCATGGGCCGTCGCGCCCCATTGCAAGGCTTCGGCAGGAGGAGCTGGACGCAGCATCGGTGCCGCCTGAATGGTGTGTTCATTCTGTGCCGTGTTCTCTGCCTGGCAACTTTGTGCAGATCGCCTTCCTCCGTGATAGTGCTACTGCAGAAGAGGCGAGCCTAATGCAGGCGACCCCGAACTCCGAGTGAATTTTCATGCTCGACTGCCTGCAAGCACATGCCACGCATCGCAGGGGGCTCGGGAGCGGGGCGACAGTTACGCCTTTGCCTTTGAGTGTCTCCTGGGCCATCTTGCGCTGAATCTTCCGTGCGCGCTTGTGAGTTGAAAAAGGCTGCCAAAGCCACTGTCGCCTGTCGCTACATCTCTGACAGGTACCGGCTGCATCAAATCGTCTCTGAGTTTGGCTGGGCACAACCATTGGAAGGGACGTAGCTCTCACGTTATTCTCTGCATCGGTGTCAGTCAGATCAGCGCTGAAGCGCTTCCATTGCTCCATGGCTTCATGGAGCAGGCCCAGGCTGTTCCATGTGTTTACTAACCTTGGCGCGCACCTGGGTCAAAAAGAAGGCGCTATGGTTAGAGATTTGATGCGACTGTTCTTCGCTCGACAGGAGGGCTGTGTGTTACAGTTCACGGCTCACTCGATTGCGAGTGTTATAAAGAAGATATAGCAGAAGCAGTGCAGCAAATAAACCAAGATAGCTCAGCAACATTCAGCAGCAGTCCCGAACCAAGAACCATCCAGGATATAACAGATAAGAAGCAAACTTGCGCATGCAGTCTGATTCCTCTGACACGCTCTGTTGTGGACACGCACTGTGGCACAGGGACTGTAGCCCGAGAAAGCTAGATTTGAGCTGTGGCTACACGCCGAAGAACCGTGAAACCCTTCGCTTCGTTACTTCCCTGGAGCCATAAAAGACTGCTCGAAAAACTGCATGTTGAAGTGTGCACGCGTGCGTGTGTTCATGTGTGTGCCGCGCCTTCTCAGTACCGACATACTTCGCCACATGTTTCGGTGCGGTCGCGTCGGTGCGGCCTTTGAATCATCGTGATCCACGTCGCTTCTCGAGACGACATCACCGCCCCCCCCGTGTTCCAGTCTTGTGCGGCCTTGTTGACCTGTCACCCGTCGGACTCCCCTCGCAACAGCCGTGCTGGCCCCCTCTCTTCGAGACGCTGCTTTGCAGCTCTTCGCATCAAGCAGGCTCTCCGTATTGCTGCCACTTGCTGCCTTTCATGCCTCAATTTCACATTTGGGATACGCTAAGGAAGGGCAGGGGTGGGTGGGTGAGTTCGTCTGCCTCCTCGCCGTTTTTTGGTCCAGACGTATTGCTACCAAAGGTAGCCCAGACTTTCAAAAGAGCCGTGAAGACCCAATTCCTGGCCCGGGCAACAAGCCGTCGAGCATAGGAGCTGCTGCACGAGACGACGTAAATGATGCGCATTGGAGTGGTTCCCCCTTCCTGAACGGCAAGGTCGAGGTCATCTGGTCGCTGTTTTGTGCTTAGGGCATGCTTGGTCCTTCCACTCCAGAAGACATGCCATTACAACAACTCTTCTTGTTCTAGGCTGGCTCAAGCTGTCGAGCCAAACTATGCCAAAATCAGGGCTCTGCATGCCAGAATCTGCCTGCAGTTTGCGAGGCCACACGGGTTCACCCCTTCGTGGGTGTCGAAATGCAAGTTCCACTGTACTTCTGACCTCGGCACTTGCTGCGGCAGTGGTAGAAGCACCGTGCCCGTCAGTACTCGCCGTGTCGCAACGTGTCGCTGGGCAGCCCCTGCAATGTACTGATTTCGCTTCGTCTTCATTTTGGGCTATTGTGCAGTCAGTTCAATGAAGCTGTCGCCAGACCCCATCCGAGCGAATTGTGCTTGCTTACATTGAACCCTGCTTTGTTACCCACGAGACCCTGAACATTTTCAGCACACGACCCCAGTTCAACTTGCGAAATTTTCACTCCTACATGCTTGATGGAATCAACCTCATGGGAGAGCTTCAATTGATCGTTGCTTAGCGATATGAAGATGCCAGCAACATGCCCTACACAAGTTTACGTTCTGACCAGTAAATACAATTGAATTTCTTAACTGCATGTCACGGCGGCGGGTGGGGACGAAGCCGCCGCACCAGCTGCGACAGCCATGCTGTGAGTCCCATCCAACGATTTTTGCTCAACCATGGCCGACCTTGACCATTTCACCGGAAGGACACGGCCGAAACTCAATCAGATTTCGAACCATGGAAACAAAGCTGGTGTTGGGATGTGAGATTCGTGGTTGACGTGTAGGCTTCGGGTAGGGAACGATAACCGGATCCAAACTAGAAGAACGGCCTTCCAACGAAGACAAGGCGTAGAAGGGATGGATAGGGATGGCAAGCATCCACAAAGACTGGGAGTGACACCCCAACATTGCGTGACTGTCGGAAGCTCACGAGCTGCGAGTGCGGGCACCTTTCGCTAGCTGCCATCGGAGACATCGCAGTTTTCCGCCCTTTGTTGCTCTGCTTTCTTGAAGTATGTTAGGGCCAGCCGCTTGTGCCCAGCAGTACGGGATTCTCAGTTTCACCTGATGCTCGCGTAGGGCAGAACATGCGCTGTGGCCTTCACCTCAAAAGCCATTGCGGTGTTTTGTGCTGCAGATTCACAGAAAGCATGTCTTCTCCAGCTGCAGCTGCAAGTGGCTCCAGCAAGCTAGCCATGCCTCGCCTGGCAGTGTCTTCCATGGCGGCCGTGGCCGCACTGGCGGCCGGGGCGGCTTTCGTTGCAGCGCCTGCAAGAGCGCCCGTGGTTCCTAACAAGCGCGGGCTTCGGCATCTTCACTGCCGACGTCTAGCGATCGTGCTGCAATGCGCGTGCTGAGGCCGGCCCCATCGGGAATGGCTTCGTCCGCCTCTGAACCTGCTGGCTGGGGATTGGCGGCAGCAGGCAGAGTCCTTGTCGCTTAGCGCGTGCGAAGACTTTTGCCTTTCGGGCCCGTTGACAGGCCTGGCCCTCGGTGCGCACGTGGGCTTGGCAGCAGCCTGGCGTTCCAGAGCTTCCACAGCAGCCCGGGCTGCAAAAGATGCCCCCGTTTGGGCCTCAGGAAAGTGGTCGAGCATTGAGCGCCTTCTCGCCTGTTGTCGATGGTTCAACCTTAGGCCACCAAGTATGTCGAGACCGTCGCCGACGAGAGGCTGTTCGAGCAGGCTGGGTCCAGGTGACTCTGAAAGATTGTGCCATGCAGAGCTCCGATGTCTGAGGTCTACCTGCAGTACACGTCCGAGTACTTGAAGGGACCGCTGTACTGGCACCCCGACAAGCTGCATCTCGATTGCACTCAGGCGTATTGCAGGGCGATGCCTCCTGCGGTCCCGTTTCAAGGCAGGGCTGGCTTCCCGACTACCCCGGCACGCCAATGATCAAGGAGGGCAAGTACACCTCCCACGTCATCGGAAACCTGAAGGCTGGGAGGCTTGCTCTTGAATGTCAGTGCTGCATGATCCGATCCCGCTTGAGGCTTTCAGCTCCAACGAGCTCGCATTCTTGTCGATGCTTTTCTTTGGAGTTGGCCTCTACGGCAACCTGCAGTTCCTGGGCCAGTGAGCATTGGGACAATGAGAGTTTTGGCTGAAGGCACGCCGAAGAGGTTCACATATGAGATGCAGGCTTGTCTTTCTGTTTGAGAGTTTCCCACATGGAGTCTCAAGCGCCGAACCGCAGCTTTAGACCTGCGGCAGTCGGGACTGCGAGTCTTGAGTTCGACTTTCGCAAACTCCTGGAACCCAGCCTTGGACCCCGGGATTTGATTGCGGAAAGCTGTCTGTGCAGATCTTCGACCATGTTTGAGCCCAGGTTCAACTTCTACGACCCCCAGTGGGCGAAGGTTGATGCAGGTGGCTTCTTCAATGTCTCCTACATCGTGGAGTCCTTCTTGCTTCCCATCTCCTTCTTCATGCACATTGCCTGCTACATTCAGAGACAGAATGGCAAGTGAAAATGGCCAAGTTCCAATCGTGTCTGACCGGCCTTTCACCCGAAGTTGAGCTCATTCAGGCAGAGCCTTTTTTTATCGCCACGAAGGTGTGGCCAAAATTACTGCGTCCGTGCCATGCTGTGTCTGCTTACCTGCAAAGCTTCTTGTTCGAGATGCGCTGCGTCATGCAGTGGAATTCCCCAGCGGCCCAGGCTTCATGACCGCGAAACAGAGAACTATGCGAGCGCTGCGCGAGGTCAGACAGGCCGCCCGTTTCCGTTAGACTTCCTTGGATTGACGAGTTTCCTGTTTCGCTTTGCAGGTATCGGTCCTACACAATGCTCCGCCAAAGTCTTCGAAGGACAGTGGTAAACTCCTCTGTCGAGCCAGCCAGCCAGACAGACTTGGGTAGACTATGAAGTTGTCGGAAGGGGCTGGACTTCGCCAAAGAGACAGGCAACTCGGTAAAGACTCCAGTAACCCACTGTCACCGGAGACCGCCTCCAATGAGGCATCTTCTGCGGCCGAAGCAGCACTGCTTTGATCTCGGGTGTGTGAAGCACAGCATCCTGGTTGTGTTGCAGAGAAGCACTTCTTCACCTAGGAGACGGCTTCTGCGAGACGCAAGAACAGCTCGCCTTCCACTGGACGATTTTTCGTTTCAGGCAGGCGTGGCCTCGCGGTGGCAGTGACTTGGGTGCAAAAGATGAGGGCGAATCCTAATTCGTCGACTCAGCAGCTGTTGCATGCACGCATGACGGTAACCAGCTTACCACCTAAGGCTTTCGCTGGCAGTTCTGGACAAAGCATCCAGAAGCAACAGTCAGGTGCAAATAAAGAGGTTGAGCAAGCTCCGCAACAGCGTCTCTGTCTGAGACGAGTCCAAGCCCTCCATGCAGGTGCCTGCATCAGTTGTTGGCGCCGCCCTGGCAGACTGTGAGCACGCGCGGCGATGGAAGGAGGCACGTGGGACATCCGGGGATAGGTTCGCCCAGACAGCCGGAGCTGTCAGGTGTTTCTTGCTTTGCGCAGCATTCGTGCCACCATCCGGCCGAGTGGGCCGAGCCTTCTCGCATATAACACCGCCATCTTTGTGGCGACCTTGGCACGTTGTCCCAAACACCAAGCATGCCATGCAGGAAGTCGTAGTGACCACTCATGGCTGTCAATCTCGGCAATGACGAGTGAGCAAAGCCCTAAGGCATGTCAGTCTCACAAGAACTGGGTTCCAGTCTCAGGTGTACTCGCGCGTCAAAGTCGTGCTTCACGGCCTCCCTGCCTCAGGAACTGGTGGCTCAGATTCTCCTCGAGATGCGACACCAGCTGTGTCAGCTTCAGGCTTAGCAAAATGAGGCAAATGTGATTCTCATTTTGGCTGTTCCACGGCTGAGGCCCGATGCGCAGACCTGCAGCGGAGCCATCGTTGCTTGCGGCAGGGTCCGTGTTTTGCCCTCATGCGAACTGGATGTCTGTGGCTCGGTGCAGGCCGGCGCTGGCAGCAAGCGCTTGCATTCAATGCACATTTGCAGCTGGCCGGGGTTAAGTGATGGAGCTCAGCGACACACTTCTCTTCAAGAAGCCAACGCAAGTGACCGCACAGATATCAGGCCGAACGCCATTACAACATCTGCCCTCATCAGCTCCTGTGCACGAGCCAGTCGCTGGCAGCGGTGACCTCATGAGAAAGCCTGTGCTTTGTTGCGCCTCCATGTATTGAGGTTATCCCTTGCTTTCGCTGAAGACGACAGGCCGTCGGCCGTGTTCTTCTAAACATCTGAACTATTACAAAGAGTCACTCTTTCACTCAGATCGAGCACGGCTGTCTTCAACGCGGCCATGACTGCTTGCGCCGCTTGGCAGTGGATGGATCTTTCGTTCTTGCATCAGGCAGGCGCAGCCGCAAAGAAGGATGGACATCACTTCCATCTCTGCATGCATTGTTCTTCCAAGACGGACATTGTAATGAGGCACGCGTGTGCGCATGCATCAACATTTGCTAACGGCGCACCCGCCGCAGCACCGTCGGCCCGACGCTCCGAAGAGTTTTTTTGTTGGGTCGGCGCCAAGTCGGCCTCCCAATTTTCGGCGCACACCTACTAAGGCCATGGCCCGTAAGACCCCGGCGCAGATTCCACCGGCCACTAGTGATTAACTCCGACGGTTCAATTTTTGTCGTCGTCCGGACACAGCACTGTATCACTCCGTTCGGCGACGAAACAGGCTGGAACGAGTAGCCGGTGCCGCCAAGCCACGACACGTGTCCATCCCTCACGTCGTGCCCGTCAAAGTCGTCACGGGAGACAGACGACGGCTGCCAGCGACCAAAACTCCGAGATCATTCCAGTGATTGCCGAATCTTTGCCGTACCCCTTGGTCAGCGTGTCAGTGCCGATGTTGTCGATAAAGGCGACTATCAACGGGGACAGGTAAGCGCGTAAGGTGAGGTGCCGATGCCTTGGGCTCCGCCGTGGTCCGTGTATGTCTGGGTCGAGATATAGCCGTCGATGAAGTCGAGGAACCCGTGCCCGCTCCGGCGGGGCGCCGACATCACCATCATCCGTCAACTCCTCCGCCGAGCAACCCGCCGGAGGGCCCCACGTGACGAGCTTGCCGAGCGCCACCCTGTCCTCCACCGTAAGCTCGGCCTCCAATGCGCTCCATCCACGCCGATGAGTGTCACCGCTTCACGGAGTCTGTCGGCGATAGACAAATTGCTGCTAGTCCGTCGGTCGCTGAAGCCTGGGACATCATTAAGAACATACAAATCATGCGGCAATTGAGATGAAACAAGGGGGGCTGAAGCATGAACACTCGCTCCGAAGTCCGGTTGTTGGCACGTGCTGAGGGAGACATGTATCCCGACAGGCTAAAAGTTCAAAGTGGCCCGCGGCACTTCTGTTGCTGCGCAGGTCTGAACCATCATAGCATCTGTGCTTTCCAGAGGCTGGATCAAGTTCGTGATGCAGTCAGGATTTCCTCACTTCAGCTTCTACCTGACTTATTCAGCTGAGCACCGAGCCGGATTTGTCGTGAAACTACAGCTTATGAGCTAGTGTTTGAGGCTTTAATGTGGCCATTCATGGATGCGAAGTCGGTGGTGCCTGGGTGCGCGCAACCTGACACAACCTGCATCTGTCTTCCAATTGTTTGCCACACTCTTAGCTTGCAGGTCGCTGCTTTGCAGCTCTTGGAGGAGATAGCCTGCATGATCCTTCAGCCGGACCTTGTCAGTGGGGTGCTTACGCTTGATCTTCTGGTCCACGGCCATGGCTTTATGTGGTGAGTCCATCGTTCTGCAGGCATCAATTCCTGCATCAGTGCTTGCTCGGAGGCGCGTGCGACTGACGGGCTCCTTTTCGTTTTTAGACTCCATGCTGACAGGGCCTGCGATGGGCGGCTGCAGTGCACCTCTTCGGCCAGATGGCAGACAGACAGGCTCGAGCAAGATCCGGAGCATGAATCGCGACGCGGTCATTGTCGCCACTGAGTCCACAAGTCGCTTTGGTATAGATTCTTACTTGCCCTCGTTTCAACTTGCGACCACGGAGCGGGGCACGTCTGCTCACAAGTCCTTTTGCAAAGATGTCACAGGAGTCTGCCTTGCATCTTTCAGAGCTAATGCCAAATGCTGCTGCCACCTGGTCCTTTGCTGCCTGCACAAGCAGATTCCAGCGTTCCGTGCCTGCTGCATCCACACACTATGCATCCTGATGCCATAGGGTCGTCTGAGCTTACGCATGAAAAGGCACGCGCTTGCCTGGCTTATTTCTGCATGTAAATGTTTGCTTTGTGATATTTTTTGGGTATTCCATTTCGGATGGTGAGCATTTGTGCTACGAGTTGATTTGGCTAGTTCTGAGCTGCCTTTGCGCTGCAGTCGATTGTGTTGTACTTCCCCATGCTCTGGTCAAATGCTCCTAGCCCCAGAAGTTGTGAACACTCATTTGTTCTCAGACTTCTGTGGGAGGTACAGCCAGATCTGGTGAGCTCCCAGATGCAATGGAAGTTTGGGGAGGGCCTTGTGTGCATGGCAAGCTCATGCAAAGGCTACAACGCGGCGATGTCTGCTGTTGGACGGGAAAAGGATATATGCACGTAGCCACGAGCTGTCCAAACTGAGCAGGACGGGGGCAACTGTGGCACACTGCGCTTCAACTTCTGCAGGTGGGAGAGGCGACGGAAGTGTTCAGGCCGTGAGGCCTTTTAGCCGGCTCCAGGCGCTGCCTTGCAAGCCGAACATGATCTCCTTCAACACGGCAATGGCGGGGAGTTGCGGGGAGTTGGGGGCGGGGCATTCTGTCAGAATCCTTGAGCTGACCAGGCAGCGTGCGAGCGAGGAAGACACTGGAAGCACGTACTTGCCCTTCTGGAAAAGCTGGGAGACAACAGGATGACGCCCGACATGCACACTTGGACTTCGTTGGCGGGAGCCCTGGGCATGACGTCTGTAAAGTGTGTAAACCCGGCACAAGTCCAGCCTTTGCTGTGCAGGTTGCAAGCTTCTCTCGGGCGAGCGACTGGGTGAAGGCGCAGAGCATCTTAAATGAGATCCGCACGGTACTTGGACTCTTGATGACATGACCTGGCTGGAGCAAGCACCCGTTACCAGTGGCAATAATTTACTCAAAGCGGCGTAAAGAGTACAACACAACAATCCCATGGACCCAACAAGCCCGCTAAGTTTTGACGGGGCTGGTCCCAAACGTGGAGCTGACGTCGTGAAACGCGTTCAGGAGCGTCAGACGTGGAATCCGACGACTGCTCAAGAACAAGGGCGGCGACGACTCCGTAGATGTACCAATACACATGAGAATGACGTTTGAAGACACCTTCTTGCCACGCATGGGAAGTAATGCAGGAAACGACGAACCAAATGCTTTGCGAGTGTCTGGTGTTTTTCCAGCTCGACAGCTGCCACGAAATTTCCAACACAGGTTTTCGGAGACAAGACTCACAACTTCGAAATCGGACGGGCTTGCGAAAAGCATTCATTTCGACACAGCTTCGAAGCAACCATGGCCCACTATGACCAGCATGGACACGTCTCGAGGTTTTAGAGGTCTCTTGTCTGTTGCGACATGGAAACGCGGATGTCGCGGCGCACCTTTCGAAGAAGGCTGACCAAATCCGTATGGTGTCCAAAGCGGAGCGCTGTCTGCACAGCCCCGAATTTGGCACTGACAACCTAACCCTCAAACCATGTGCAACAAGTGCATACCCGCCGGTTGAGGCGGCCGTGTCAGTTCGCATGGCAGCAAGGTCTCCAAGATCTGCACCCAGATTTGGTGATATTGGGCGCCACTGCAACTGTTGCTCAGACCAGATTATTTGCCCAGTGCTTCATGCCACGATGCTCCACATACTTGTGCTGGAGGCTTTCCAACGTGGACACCAGTGGATGCTGGCTTTGAGTCTTTTGCCGGAGACGTACTAGTCTCAGCGCCCCAGCTGAAAAAGGCAGTGCAGATGTCAGAGTCCGTCCATGCCGCAGGCACAAACTGCAAATTGTACCTGATGAGCGGCTATGCGGTTCAGTTGTCACAGCTTGTGCAGCATCGCAAGCTTGGCAGGTAGGTGGTGGGACATGGTGGGACTGAAGACTGCTTGTCTGGCATTGCTCCAGGCTGCGTTGTCGTGCCTTATGGAGTTCCCGAAGAGGACAATTCTGGTTAGCTTGTTTGGTGTAGAGTGAGTGTCTGTAGCCATCTCCGCAGCAGGAATCTGCAGCCCACCTCCACGAGCAGTTCGCCAGTCTTGATTGCTCTCCTGGACTGCGTTTGAAGAAATCAGGTCGGTTCTCACACGTGACTATAGAAGTCTGCTCTTGAAGATGTGCAGTGTTGGCCGAAGCAGTGTCAGTTTCTCGACCACTTTCGTGGTTTCAGAGCATTCAATCTGCAACGATTTTTTGCATCCAGGTTTCTTGGTGGTTCAGATCGTGCATGATGGTGCCGGCTAGGGGGCGATCGTGGTTTTCATTGCCGCTTTGGTTGTTCGGCTTCTATTCGCCTTACATCTGCCGGTTTGTCCACGTTTTTTCCGCTCCTGCATCCTTTATCTTTTTCGTCGTCCTCCTCCCCCACTGCTTCTTTGCCTTGCTGCTGTGCAGTTTGGCCTATTGCAACAGTTGTGTTGTTGCTGCTGTTGATGCTGCCGTTGCAACTGGTTGTGGTGTACAGTGTTCGGTCCTGTCGAGTGCAACTCATCTAATCGCCTCTTGTCAGGCAGAAATTACACCACATTTAGTCCGTGGGCCTAGTCGTTACCGGCAAAAGTCCATAAGTTGGTTGGTGAGGACGTGCAGCAGTGGCTGATGGCCTTACACTTGTTCGACCGTTTGCAACATGTAGCAGGACACCCGGCTATTGAGTCCGGATATTCTACTGATCAACTACAGACTCTCGCGATCTGCTAGAGGTCGCCATGGACTCCCAAGCTTACGGCCGGCTCCTGCTTGTGTGTCTCGACAGGTCAGCATTTTCGCTGAGCTCAGAACTCTTTCGAGAGTGGCTGAGGTGCGAGCAACATCGACTCACGGATTGGCAACATCGGCTACTACAGAGTTTGGCCTCTCCTCGTGGTCCTGCTCGCCATACTCCAGGCAGAGAGAGTCTGCATCTCAATGCATGATTTGCCTGCGATTCAACGCAAGCACAGCGACAGCCATTGAGTGGATTTCGAAAAGTATTTCGATAGCCTTGAAGGGCGGATCCCAAGCTGCTGAGGTCTCGCAGCAGCAGTCGCAGCACAATCCGCCGGTCTGGACATGGTTCCCCAGGTTTCGAAAGAGTCGGCGGCAGCTCCTGCGAGCATCCCGCGTTCTCACTCGTGGACACCTTATGTCAAGGACCCAGAACGGGCAGAGAAAAGAATGAACACTTCTTTGATTCCTCGCTAAAGCTTCACCGGATTTGTGCAGGAGATTCGCCTGATGGAGCACATTTTGCGTCATGCTGAGCGCAGCAATCCCCGTTCGGTGTGTGCAAGCCCCAATGGACTAGAATGGCTAGATACAAGATCTCATGACCGGCGTTGCGGCGTGAGGCAACGAAGTGGAAAGCTTTGGTCGGCGCGTTTCAGGCTACCATCCTGTGAAAGGGTTGCCTCGAATGCAATCCACGGCTCGTGACTGAGCTTGATAGACATGCCTTTGGGTTCCGATCTGTGGCGTTGGCTCCGCCAGACGAGCCTTTTTGCTGGCTCATGTCCGCACTTGCTTTGTACAGCCATGACTGACCCGACATCCCTTCGCCATGGGTGCCTTGGCAGAGATTTGTGGCTGTCGTCACCCAGGCCAAGAAAGTCTAAATAAGATGTTTGTCTCTATTTCTATTCCTGTTGTTGTTATTGTTGTTGATGCTGCTGCTGCACCACTGTCGTGAAGGTGTGCAAGGCGTGCCTGATCCACATGCAGAATGCCACGACCGAGCACACTCCATCCATGGACCACTGATGGCGATGATGCACTCGAGGTGTTGTTGCTTTTTGCCTGGTCAGTGCTGCATTCATGACTGTTCCATGTTGGTAGGTTGACAGTCCTGAAGTACATTGGTGAAATTCTGTGGATCTTGAGCGAAGCTACGTGGATTCTGCTGATTCCACAGGCAGGTCGCAGCATAAAGGCACTAGATTGAAGTAGTTTGTGAAGCCGGCGCTCTTCGTGCAGCTTTGCCTCGCAAAGGTTTGCATTCCGACATCATTTCTGGCTTTCGTTTTCATTTTGGCCGCTGCTGCTCTGGACCGCCTGACTGGTCGGGTGGAAGTCTGGTTCCCTTCCGCGCTTCAGGCCGCTTGCCAGGATTTAAATGCCTGCATTGCATTTACCATTTCCCGTCCTGCTGTCAGGCGCTGTGGTTGTTCTGGAACTTTATATGGATGCTGGACGAGGCCGGGGCTGCCATGGTCTCCCTGTGCCCCTGTGCCCTAAGAAAAGCTCACCCTCCCACGCAGGCTTATGAAAGGCGTTGGTTGCAGACATCGCTTTCTTATGAAGGGGCCTGAGCTGTAGCATGCAAGCTAGCAGGCATGGCTGGTAAGTGTGGTTGTAGTAGTAGTAGCAGCAGTAGTAGAGATAACTTGATACTAATTATGGTAGTATTACCAGTACGCGTACTAGTGTTAGCATTAGTAACGGAGCTAGCAATGGCAAATGTAATGGTAGTCACCATCACAATATAACGGCAACTGTCATAGTAATAGTAGCAGTAGGAATGCTTGACTCGTAGTACTAATGTGGTACTGGTAGTGCTGGTGTACGAGCACTCCTCGTATTGCGCGCCTGAGAGCACTGCGAGAAGCACGACAGGGAGTACAAGTATTAGTAGTCTTGGTTGTGCGTGGGTGGTAGCAGTAGTATCCGGAGTAGAAGAAAAACTATCAGCATGCAGCCGGAGTACTGGTATTAGGGGCAATGCCGTTATGATTAGTTGTCAGACGTGCAAAGCATTGCAGCAAGTGTCGTGTTATGACTGACGAGGACCCATAGGCTGTTGTGCAGGGTTTCCGGGTCGGGACTGCCTCCGCTCTGCTGTCTGCCGAAGTTAACTCGGACCTATGCTCCTCAACCCTGCAGTTTTAACATTTAAACATGCTTCGTACTTGGTGAACACCATGTTAATCGATGTTACACAGGCCAGACTGTGAAGAGAAGTTGCAGGTTTTCTGGGACGAGCCGGATCAGCAAACGCCGTGGAATCTGACACCTATGCAACTTGGCGGCCTCAGAAAGCCCTCCATTTTTCTTCCCACCCTGATCGTAATTGGTTGTCGGGTGATCATGGGTGCTTGGGAGAAGGCACACTTCACGAATGCCGAGGTTGGGAACGAACGAGAAGCAGTACAAAAGCGTCCAGAACTACTGCGGCCCGGCTGAAGTGCGATCGATCACTAAGACTTGCTGTTACTCGAGATTTGCAGTCATGCGGGGACATGTCTTGTCCAACCTGTTGTCCTCGCAGGCAGAATCGGTTTCTTTTTGGCGCCGGTGCTGTGGATTGCGGCGATTCTACATGAGCTGTTTCGGAACGATGTCGAGGTGCCCTCTCCGGCCAGGGGGGATTCGACAGGTGGACAGCAAGATCACGTAGCCTGCATGAGCGAGGTTCTTGGGGTTTAGGCTTCGGGCATTTTTGGGGTTAATAGGGCGGTAAGGGTTAGGCATCTGCAGTTTAGGTTTATTCGGTCCACGAGTTTTAGTGCTTCAGGAAACTAGGTTGCAGGGCTGCAGGCGCCTAGAGTCTTATTCGGGTGTAGAGCTTTGCAGGGAGTTGATGATGTTAGGGTTTTGGGGTTAGGGTTTCCGGGTGAAGTTGCGGTATGCGAATTAATTACACGGGCGTGAACCACAGGTGCGTGCATGTTGTTCGCCCATGTGAATCTGCAGGTGCGTGAGTCCGTCATTTCAGCACACGAATCGGTTGCCTACGGCTTCAGTTTCCTACACTACACTGAACTTCGGAAGGTAACTTTCCGTGCCTTAGACGGTCATCAGATCCGTCGGTGATGGAGCAATCTCTCCAAAAGGCTGCTTGCTGCGGAAGAGCCGTGTCGAAGCTCACCCAAATGTCGAGATGTATCTGGAATCACGGCTTCCTGAAGGGGACATCTTCGAGTGAAACTGCGAAGCTGGGAGAGTCTACCAAAGCTGCGGAAGCTGCGAGGTTAGATCATGCATAGATTATAGTATAATACAAGAAGAACGACTATGTAATGTAATCTATAGTCATGGGTTTTGCAGAAAAAAGACACAAAAGAACATAAAAGGAATATGCTCAGATATGATGTGGTATCGTAGGATACGATCTGACATGGCATGAAATGGTATGGTGTAACATAACATAATTTAATCTCCATAGACTATTATACATCTGTAGTATACTGTGTTAGAATAGAACACAAGAGAGTATAAAGCAACATGCTTTCAACTCTTTTCAACACGGTCGTAAGATATAAGAAAACACAGACGTGTTAAGCTGTGATAGTCTATATTGCAGTGTAATACACTATGCATCCTATTCTGTGTTTCCGTTCAGTATAATGTGGTCATTTGTTTGGATACAACAACTTTCAAGGTTGCTACACTATGATTCAACTTAGCTGTTGCTTAGTATTAGTATATACTAGTGAAAACTTTGTGTTACATGAACATGAGGTATTGTGAGAACGGTCAGTCACAACAAAAACAAAGTTCCATAACGAAGTACTGTCACAAATAGACTGTAAGCCCAGAGTCATATATGCATACATACGTACATACATATATGCATTGCAGAATGTTAAGACGGTTTAACTTAAATACAACAGCGGTACACAAAGCTATAAACATACTCAGCGCAATGCAACATATAATCTAGACTTCGTGTGAGTGAGCTCAATATGATATGCTCAAACCTAATACAGCATGATGTAAGATACAGCAGCAAAGTTCATACGATATGACGTAGTGAGGTTGAATACAAAGACAGTCATACAAAAGGAAGGAGCAGATAACAAAAGCTGGAACGATAGAAGAAAGGAGATACGATGCACCGTATGTTAACATAACAGGCATAATATTGTATAGGAGGGTATGATATGTCACTGCATAACATGAAAGTCTACGGTTTCTGGAATATATCACGACATAACATGTCGCAACATACTTCTCACGTTTCCACTTGAGATACTGAAGCAGAATAGACAACATGGTTATGCGAAGAAAACGGTTATGTAGCGTATCAAACAACAATAACAATGTGAAGAATAGAGTATTCAGTATAACCTTTCACAGACCTAACATGTAACTTGGTTATAATGCGAAAATAACCAAGTGTAGTAATATGGCAATATCAAGCTGGTGCTTTTGGACAATATTGCAGTATACAAAAAATAATTCAAGGCATTTTAAACCAAGGTATACTGTAATATGAAATACCATCATCTAGTCAGTAATGCACATACTCCAATATCCTTCAGTATGGAAACTTTACATCTATTGCAATGTAATATGCGAGAATGAAGCAACTTGCAATAAGACAAGATCTGGTAAAGTATAATGTGGCATGTTTCTTAGTGTAGTACACTATATTGCGTTATCTTTCAGGTTTGATGCTGACGAGTATGAAAGATGGTCCAGTGCTGGCCTTCAACTCTCCTTACCGAGGTGTGTCTTAGGTATGGTTAGGACGTATCGTGCAATGATCGAAGATGATGATAATCCCACCGCCTCTGCCTCAGCATTGCCTGCATCATGAGCATGACTTTAACATTCCCGGTGTCGTTGCCTTTGCATTCCTCTCCGCCCGTCACTTTTGGGGGTTCTGGTGGGACTTCGCCCTTCCATGATGTCTGCGTCCGGGCGCACATCACGCGTACAGACAGAGGAGGCGCGTGATGGGTCCTGGAGCGGTGGTCTTGGTTGTCTTCTTCCTTGCATCTTTTCCCCCCCTTTTCTTGAGATCACCGGCCCACGGGCAAAAGATTCTGTGCCTAATGTGGCAAAGATCCTTAGAAGCTGAAAAAGCTGCCGCTTTTTATCGTATGAAAGACAATGCCTTAATATAAACGAAGAAACTATTACGCATATAAACCTTATAGTAATAAGACAAGTTATGATAGAACACAACACAGCTCTACATGACAGAATGTTATACTGCGTTCTACAGTATTTCGTATTATTGCATTAATGTATTTTTCATGTATTTTGCAATACAGAAACGCACCATGATATGACGTCACACAGTGTAGCCTACTATATCATGTCATTTAATGTCATATCATGTCGTATCATACTCTTGGGTTTAATTCAAATAATGTCACATGATAAGGCATGATGTAACCTCATATAGGACGACATAACCTGGTGCAACACTTACATGTAAGAACATGTAGCCTCATATTGTATCATGCAAATTCACTTCATATCATAACATGCCATATCGTATCATATAGTTTCATATCGAGGTGGTATTCATGTGTATCAACCAGTACTTCTTTATATGTTATAATTCCAATTTAAACAACATGTCACAGCCTCATACATGATACAGCGACATCAAGTGTCACATAATGCAGTCATATACTGTGTCGCTTAATTCCATGTT